TGTGTGTGTGTGTGTGTGTGTGTGTGTGTGTGTGTGTGTGTGTGTGTGTGTGTGTGTGTGTGTTTGCTTTTGTGAGATGATGCATTTTGACAGCAAAAGGTCCCCTGCTGTGCTGCTAAGGGGAAGCAAAGCTCCAAATATTCAGGTTATATCTCTCTTTCAACGCAGAACCTTTGTCGCCACACCTCTCAGTCTTATGCGTCCACAGACTTCATGCCATTAGTTTGCTGTTCTGTAGGGCCTGTGTGAGCAGAATGCTAATAGAGTTTGGAGCAGTGCTCAATCTCCCTTCTTTTGAGGGTTAAAGGTCAGCCGTCCACCTCTGCATTCAGGTCACCGAAGAGGAGATGAGACCTTGGCTCACCCTCCTCCATCACTTATTCCCACGCCTCTGTAGGTGACAGAGCCCAGGGGACATCTCTGTTTAGACCCTGGACACACAGTACAGGCGAGTTGAAGCTGACGTGACCAGGTGTGTGTGTGTGTGTGTGTGTGTGTGTGTGTGTTTTCTTTTCTTTTTTTCTTTCTACCTACCTGTTTGTACGTGTTGGTGTATTTTGATGCACGAGTGCTCATTGTCCAGTTTCTAGCTGTAGGTGTATCTTCCTGTTTGAGCATGAGTTTTAATTGTCCTGTGTCTCTCTCCCTGGGCCTGCCTCGGGGTCTGGGCACACAGCCTCACACTCACTCACTTCGACTGATCATGTGTGCCTTAATTGCTTGATGCATGTGTATTTGTGTATTCAGAGATGCGGTCGTAAAAGAAGTGGCCTCAAGTTTGTGAAAGGCAAAGCCCCGTGCAAACATACCAAAGATAAATTGTGTTTCCAGACATAAATTACTTTCCTGTCGGGGTGCTAGTTTGCCAGTGTGACTTGATGCATAGTGTGAATTCATAATATAATGAGACATTTCTTGATTTTTCTCAAAAACCCTCTACCCACACGAGAACCTGGGTCACACCACACATCAGATGTCACACCAGCTGAGCTTTCGTGCATTTGTAAGCGCACATGAGTGTGCACATGCATGTGCGGTGTGTTTGCCCTTAACATGTGCAGTATGTGCATATGCATGTGACTCTGCTCTGCTCTTTGTCTTCCTTGCACTAATACTGAGCTCTGGCTGGAAAACACAGCTTAGCATTATCACCCCAGCCCCAAATACAGCTACAGTATACATACGATCCATGATCACACACTGAGAAATGCTTGCTGGACAAGAGAAAGAGGGAGGCCTGCAAAAGGCACTCGGTTGTTTTTAATGTGTAATAACGCCATGTGTCTAATGTGGGGGACCATACGCTATTATTATTCAGCAACTCTTCCATGCATGGGCCTCGGATGCTCTTGCACGTGTGACTTGATTTACAGCCCATAGCCCATTGATGCTGGCTGCTGAGAGTGTGTGGGTTAACTCCAGTCCTTCCTCAAAGAGACGTGGACACACACTCTGCACCGGGCTTCCAATGAGGAGCCAGGGCAGGAAGGCTTCACTCCGCAACAGACAGCACACATATTTACCTCTTCTCTCTCTCTCTCTCTCTCTCTCTCTGTATCAATCTCTCCTTGTCCCCCTCCCTCTATATTCTATTTTCTTTAGCCTCGATTGTCACAACTGAGAGCGGCTCAGCGATGTGTGGGCGGCTCTCTAAACGTACATGTCTATCAGAAAAACATGAATCGTCGGCAGGCAGGCTTCCCAAAACAACCACATTTAGATCACTCGCTCAACCACTCTGTTAAGTGGAATATTTCTGTGACTCCCTGCAGAATGAGTGGAAGCTTTTATTTTGGCAGGAGTGGGGGTCCATTCCTTAATCTCATGTGGTCTGCATTTGTTTTTTTCTGTTAGAGAGGTGAAGGGTTGCCCCAGAAATCTGCCAGAGAAGAGTTTCTGGTACATCAGTATGTCTAGTGTGAGACACACCACACATGCTATGGACAAAATACACATTGATAATCATCCATATTGATATCACACATGTTGAACAGATACAGGAAACTGTGCAGCCACAAAATACATATGTGAATTTTTTGAAAATAATTTATCCTTTGGTAAATGTTGATTGAGTGTGTGTGTGTGTGTGTGTGTATTCCCCCTTTGCTATTCTTGCTCGTGTGTGTGGGTTTGCGAACATGTGTGCGTGCCTGCTCGTGTGTGTACTTGTCTGGCTGCAGATGGGATAATAACTATTTAATCTGCTTTTCCACATAATTTAATCTCTGGAGTTTGTCCCAAGCTCACCTTAACAGCTCAGGCGCTAAAGAGGCTCACTGGAGAACCAGGAGTCAAGTCAGCAAAGGCGACCTAGCGTGCCAAAGCACCTTGACCAAAAGTAGGAGACGCCGTCATCTGTCACTGAATGGCGTGGGCGGCTGCCAATTTATGGAGCAATCTCCTCTCGCTGTCTGTTTCTGAATGACTCAATCTACTGTCTGCGAGGGAAGGCAAGGGGTTCAGCTGTGGGTTTCTTATGTTGTGAGCACTGATGGCAGAGCTGCTCCATTCGATAAAGAAGACGCTAAGTGCAGTATACTGTAGGTCCTATCGCTGCATTGCACTGTAGGCCTCTGTTCGTTGACAAATTATGCAACATGGATTCTCAGTGTGTTGTTCTTTTTTGCAAAGGACACCAAAGTGAAATATGGTGTATGAGTTTTTACGTCATTGAAAAATGTTTAATTTCTCAGCTTAGTTGTGCATTCCAACTAACACAATTGGCCATTTCTGTCTGGTGGTAAGCTTTTGAGGGATTGTGTCCATGCGTTGGACTCAAACTGGCTGACCTGTGTGTCTACATAGGGGGATAGTGTGAACAAGGGCTCTGTGGTAATTCAATATTATTTGCTGGCTTTACCTGCAATCGTATATGTTAAGTTGAACACGATCCAGTTATCAAGAAGGCCTTTCTTTGTCTGTTGCATAGGTGTTACATTAGCTTTGACAAGAACCATAGTACAGGAACTTTAACTTTCTAAATGAAATATAAAAAAACGGATTAAACCTTCTGCTCTCAAATTCAGTTGTAGTATTTGTACTGTCACGTTATCTGCATTTGTCCAGTTG